GTTTATTCATATATATTAATTTTAAATATACCTTGCTGCATATATATATATTATATATAATATATATATATATACTTAAGTCATTGTCCAAGATACTGGTGATATGGCAAACACTAATGAACTATCAATACTTAAAATATCATTTCTAGCCAAGAGTTTCAATAGTCTCCAAGCCAAACCTATTCCACATCCAAGATGTTCGAACCTATTTTACAAATTGTAGTTTTACCCTTTTTTTCCCCATGCTATTTTCTTTGCCTATCTTTTATTTGATTTACCTAATGAACTGTGAAAATGTTCAAAAAGAGATGAGGTGGATAAGACGGATTAAGCTCTGAAAGGAAAGCAGGAGTCTGGATACGTTCCAACGATGAAGGTCAACCCCAAACCACTGAAAACTGACTCCAAAGTTTCTAAGATTCCCCAAACATTCTTATTCTGTCACAAGTGGTTCTCTGGGTTTGGGAATGGAAAGGCATGGACTTGAATCCCCAGCAGTGAGGCTGTACATGGTTGTCCTTGGGCGACAGCACCTGGTAACTGCCTTTTCCTGCACCTCACACGGGGCTGTGGAAAACATCCAGTGTTAGAAGTTCGCTGGGTGGAGGAGGGGATGTGGATGAGCCATGCATGGCTGTGGCCTAATTTCTTGGATAGAGCGTGTTACCATATGTCTTGAATCATTTATTTAGGTCAAAATCAGCGGGTTGTTCAGTCAGTCCAAATTTATACAGCTTAAGTCCTTTGGCGTGAGTATTTGGCCGTGGTATTTCCCACTGTGAGTTCCTTGGTAATTGTTAAGAGCTATGCATTTGTCGAGGCCTTTTCTCTCAATTATCTGGAGATAGATCATTTTGCTCAACTTGAAAGCTTCTACTAGAAAATAAGTAAGTGGAAATTCTTCAAGGTTTTCAGTGTGCATTTGCAAGGACCACTGACAAGTGTATGTGAGACACCAAAGCCAGTGTTTTCCAGCCAGAGCAGGGAGTCTGGATATTCTAGCATCAGCCCAAGGACCCTCCAACTTCTACTCATGTCCAGATGGCTGTTTGGAAAAAAAAACCACTGTCAGAACTAAGGGGTAGGGTGACCTCTCCCATCAATGTCAAGAAACAGAAACAAAACTAGAGGAACTATGTCCCCACAGCTACTCGTGGAGAAAAATCAATTTGGGTCATCTGATACAAGAGAGTGTCACTCCTACCAGAAGACATCTCAGCAAAGGAGGTACATGGATTTGGGGGCTGGAATTGCCTACTCTAACTCAATCACATAAGCAGCAGGGTGTCTCCATTCCTTACAGCCTCCAAATGGGTAGAAAGCACACAGCCCAGTCTGCAAAGCTCAAGACAACAAGGACTCTTTCATATGCTTGAAACTGCTCTGCCCCCCCCCCTTGCCTTCCCAGAAAACTCTGGAAGCCGATGCCCATTCTGCTCTCCCAGGCTTCTGTCGCAGCAGTTGCTGGATCCTATGTATCAGTTGCCCCAAGAACAATATCCCTTGATCTCTATTTCACGTCACATCCAATAAAACCATTTAAAAGCTCTCGTAGAGCTGGGTTATTATTTCCCATTACCCTGTCCTTTAAATAAAAAGAAAAAAAAAAAACTTGTGTAAGAGTGAAAGTGATAACAGATTGTGAAAATGCCTTTAAACTTGACATTGAAGCATGTAGGATGGCCTCGACCTCTGACACAGGGTGAGAAGTGCTGTAAAATATAGTAACAGACAGGTTCGAGCTAGTTCTTCAACTTTAACTCTCACCTTGATGCTTCTCTCCGAGTATTTTTGAAGTCCCTGGATAGACAACATTCACACGGGAGCATGAAGCCACGAAGCATGGAAAAAGGAAACAAGAACATATCAGAAAGTTCCTTCTGGGCCTCCAGTTCTATGATTAAGGACTTTGAAAGATAATTTTCAAGAAATCCTGAAAGAACTGAAGTAATTAATCAAAAAGAGTTTGAATCAAGACCCAAGGGAGCCCTTTCAGCAGTGAAAGATTTTAAATGCAGGGATAAGCACATTACAAAAAAGGATAAACCAACAGTCCTGTTCTGGATTCCCAAACTTGAGCATGGCACCAGAACCACCCAGAGCTTGATAAAAGCCAGCCACAGGGCCCCACCTCACAGTCTCCAATTCTCCAAGTCCAGGATAGTCCCCTAGAATTTGCACTTAGGATAGGTTTCCATTGCTGCTACCCTGAACAGCACACTTTGAGAGCCATGACTTTGGGAATTGTTGTTAAAGCGCTGATGGCTAACCAGCAGCGTTGCTCAGACACGGAGCATCTTAGAAATGAGCATCAACAAACACTTGGGAGATAAAGGCAGCTGGGTTAGAAATTTAAGCCTACCCTCAACTACACAGGAAAAGCAAGGTCATCCTGGGCTACATGAGACCTTGTTTCAAAAACACAACAGAAAGAAAAGCAGGCCCTCGCACCCAAATCAATGAATTTAAGTCTTTGATAGATGACTCATGTTCCCAACAAAATAACATCTACAAATTACCCAAAAACTTCACAGCAAATTTAACTTAGAAGGTGTATTAGTCTGGGTTTTCTAGATGAACAGCACCGATAGAACGAATATATAATATATGATATCATACATCATATATCATATGTCATATATCTATTATTTATTATATAGTCATTAATAGAATGGCTTACAGGCTGTAATCCAGCTAGTCCAACAGTGGATGTTTACCAACAGACGGTCCAAAAATCCAGCAGGTTTTTAGTCCATGAGGTTGAATGTCTTCAGTATATGCCAGAAACCCACATAAGTAGGCTTTAATGCCAGAGAAGGAACAGACTTGCCAGCGCAAGCAAGAGCAAGCAGGCAAAGAGCAAGCTTCCTTTCCCCGTGTCCTTATATAGGCTGCTAGCAGACAGCGTTGTCCGGATTAAAGGAGGATCTTCCCACTTCAAATGATTTCATTAAGAAAAATCTTTCACAGGTGAACCTAGCTTTTAGTTAATTCCAGATGTAGTCAAGTTAACAACCAAGAATAGCCATCATGTAAGTCTTGCCCCAAAAGTTCTAGTCCCTATGCTAAGTAGTACAGTGTTGCTTTCAGCAACACTCTGTGAAATGTCACTGAAGTTACAAGGAATACCTACAACTAATTAAAAATTACTCACTGAGTCTATCACTAAATAAGGAAAGAGAACAAATCTCAAAACAGACTGGTAGATCCAGAACCACAAACGCACAATGGCAATAATTCTCTTACCCCGGCTAGCAAGTTCTATCTAACCTGAGTAATTAGATTTTCTTACATGAGGTGTGCCTTCACCTTTGTCCTGAGCTAACTGTGGATGTGGGGATGGGGGAAGCATTGAGAACAACTCAAGAAGCAAATGTATTCTCAAAGATCAGGTGAGAGAAAGTTGTTATCTCTACCCTCAAAGGCAACCCGCCTTTCTCCACCATTCGGCCTCCAACATGGCGGCTGCAGAGTTAGCCTCAAGGCTCTCCATTTCGCAGCTGGGCCAAGCTTTTGCTAACAATGGTTTCTAATGAGGCCATGCATATGCTACCAGCACCTGGGAGCTGGCTTCCTCCCCAGACACCTGAGATAAAATATCATTTGGGCTTTGAATAGAGCACTTTCAGGAAAATCTCTCCTTCAGAATTCGCTTGGATGGAATTCCAAACACTTAGTGTTGGTAGTACACACCTGTAATCCCAGCACTCAGGAAGCAGAAGCCGGTGGATCTCTAATTCGATGCCAGACTGGTCTACAGAGCAAGTTCTGGGATAGCCAGGGCTACTCCAAGAAAATCCTGTCTTAAAAAAAAAAAAAAAAATTCAAACGAGATTAGTAAGGGATTTACCCCTCAGATCACCCAGCAAGTAATAGGGCATTCTTCCAGCTTAATCTATAATCTATTCAAGTCAGTCCAGCTCACCTGTATGACTCACGCTCCTCGTCAAGTATGGGTGACAGTTTCTCTGAACGTGGTTCCCGTGCACAGATCTCTGACTCAGCTACAGGAAGTTCTAAGTTCTCGGAGTTCTAAGACGTACTCCATGCCCCGCTGGCTTGTTGTGCCATGAGAAACAACGTGGAAAGCATGATCCCAGAGCGGTGAGGATTGAGACTAACCTGAGCATTCGTGACCTGGGGAAGAGTAAAATGTGAGAGGGGTTTCCCAGGCCAATGTTCAGGGCCAGATGTCCTCTGCGTCCGCAGCCGATCAGCCGTGGTGGTGAGACATCTTACCCTCTTCTCCATGGACCCTCACTCAAACAAATGATAATGAGGAAAAGCCTGCTCTTGGGGCACACTCCTGGTAGGTGTATCTCAAAGACAGCAAGCACTAGCAGAAGTAGCAATTAGCATCACTGCCAGAGGGAATGAGCGTCTCCTAGTGTCAGGAGCCAGGAGCAGCCTTCTCTGCCAGTCACCTAATCGGGCACCAGTTTCTCATCAGAGTGAGTCTGAGTTTCCTGAACATGCACTCCTCAAGACGCAAGGTGGCCTGCACATTGGATGTGGATTGGATGGTATCTCTCACTGCCAAACCACAGCCCAGGGCAGCTTAGCCACCACCAGTGACCGTGGGAGCAGGAAGGCCTCCCTGGCAAAGGGCTACAACCACACAGCTTCACCAGGACCTGATACATGAAGCTCCTCTCTCCCCACAAGGGCTTCTTCTTCAGACGCCTGTGAGCAGGCAGGAGGGGAGTACAGCTGGGGCTCATTAATGGCAACCCCAGGTCCACTTGGAAGCACATAAGACTTCCTCTTCTGCTATTGTCTGAGCCAACAGGGCCATCTGGAGCGCAGGGTCTGGCGTCAACACTTTATGGAAAGTTCGCCTAAAACCTCAGAATAAATGTTTTTCTCTCAATAAGCAACTCAAACTTTCTCATCCCGTGTATCTCAGCGTGGTTTCTAGGAGTGCACTGTTTGGAGGATGCCGCCCACGTGATAAGCTGTTGGTTAAAAAGTAACTAAGGACCCATTCTTACCTTTCCCAAGATTAGCAAAAACAAAGATGAAGGGCATTGACTAAAAGACACAATTACAGTTCACAAACATTCGGACCTCATTACTACTTCGAGTTCAGAGAAGTGAATTTCAGAGTCGTCCCTGGCATCTAATGGGGATGGGGTGGGGGTTCCAGTACGGGCAGCTGTTGCTGACCTGGCATGAAGGATGGACCCTTTCACTTTATCATTTAAATGCCTACTGTATTCAAAGCATCAATCCAAGGCGTCACACATATTAAAGCATTGTATTCTCACAATCAAATGAGCATTTTACACTTTACAGATAAAGAAACTGAGGCAACAAGAACTCACAAACTACACCGAAGTAGTAGTGACAGGCGAGGTAGGGTTTTGAATCCAGAGAATTTGTCTCCACCCCTTATGCTCTTGGGCAACATCCAGAGCCTCCGCCTTGTTCAGCTTTCCGAGACTAGCAGGACTTAGAATATGGAAACCAGAGCTGGTGCCTACAACCTGGGATAAATGTCAGGAAGCTCACAAAGCAAAGGAAGCAGAATTCTACTCCCAGCCTCTTGGAGTGTGAAGCACAGGACAGAACTCGGTGCTGGCTGCTTTCCTTAACGACACAGACAGCAGCCCCTGGGCACTTAGCAGACATGCGCATTCTAGGCTTCACGCCAGACCCGTTGCTGAGTATAAATCCACTGTGCAATGAATTCCAGGGGATCCAAACGCAAGGAGAGCCAATGGCTTCATGGCTTCAGCACTCTCCCTTTGTGCCGAACCTGCTCGTGAACATTTTTAGGGCCTGGGAAACTGACCAGTCTGTGCTGGGAGTTCCCGCAGTGCACACACCTGACAGCCCCAGGTCCGCCTCTGTGCAAAGGGTAGCAGGTACTCAAAAACCTACATGGCCCTAATCCCTACCTACTCTACCCTTGCCCAAGCCCCCTTGTGTCCATCTCTTTGTTTTGTTTTGTTTTGTTTTGTTTTGTTTTGTTTTGTTTTGTTT